TCTGCGCCTCCTCCCCCTCTGCGTTTCTCTCTGCGCTGGCCGTCGATAGCGAGGGGTCCAAGCAAGTGGCGCCTCGCAGATCCAGGAGTGTTGTTTTATTTATTTCCTTTTTTTTTTTTCCCCTTCAGATATTTATCTCAGGTTTGAGGAGTCCAGGGCCAAGTCCCACTACCAGCATTGAGTTTCCTCAACGCCTGAATCTGGACGTGTTTGTGGCTATGTGCGGTTGAGGAAACTCAGCGCTATTTCGGCACATGTCCACAAACACGTCCAGATTCAGTCGTTCAATTTACTTTTTTTTTTCCCTTCAGATATTTATCTCAGAAGCAGGTTTGAGGAGTAGAGCCGAAATCGCGCTTGCAAACCACCGACTATGGGTGCGATCGTTTCTTTTTTTTTTTTTTTTTGGTTGTGAATGAGCGCTCTTTTGTTCTTCCTGAGACGCCACGTGGCAGGCCGCAGGGGTCTTCTCTTCTTACTTCACCGCCTGAGCAACCCGACAGGCTGCGCGGCTTTTTTATTTTTTTTTCCGTTTTCAAATGTATTTTATATTTTTGTTAACCCAATCAACAGCAGATGCCACACTCGTCCCATCTCAGCTGTTTATTATTTTTATTTTTATTTCTTACGTCTTATTAGCTCTTAGGCTGAGCGCAGGCCCGGGGCCAAGCCCCACTTGCCCAACTTCTTTTTTTTTTTTTTCCCCTTTTGTTCCGACGGTCGATCTCTGCAATCTACGGTCAGAAGGATACGAGTAAGTGGGGCTTGGCCCGCGGGTATAATACACCCCCTTCTTTTTTTGTTTTTATTTTTTATTTATTTTTCATTTTTTTTCAGAAGGGCGATAGCCTCGAGTGTATGATATCTCGAGGTTAAAAAAAAAAGAAAAAAAAAAGGGGGTGTATTATACCCGGGCATCGTGAGTTTTGGGAAAAAAAAAGAAAAAGAAAAAAGATATCACCGTGAAATTCACCTGCGCCAGGTGATTCAGGAATTTAAATAAAATGTTTGTGGGTGTACCAACTGAGCTAAAAGCCCATTGGTTGCGCTATAATTAAGCCTTGGGGAGAGGGACCCTCTCCTCCCCCCCCACCAAAAAAAAAAAAAAAAAAAAAAAGGCTGAGGGGGTAATCACACTAGCAGCGCTTTTTCATTACTCATTTCTGGACGGAATTGCGACTAGATGCATACGGGTCCGGTCGTAAATGCGGACAGATACATTTACGATACTGTTAGTGTGAGTGCGCCATGAAAAAAATGTGTGGCTTGGAATCTTTTTCCCTCCGAATTAAAATAATAAAACAAATAAAACAAAAGTGCGGAGGGAAATAATAAAAATAGTAAAACAAATAAAACAAAAGTGCCCGAGCTTGATCTTGGACGAACTAAAATTTACGATAGTTGTTGTCATGGCTGCAGGTTTATTAATCTAATACAATTTGGACGCCCGCTTCTCTGGACTCCCTCCTCTTCTCTCTCTCTCTCTCTCTCTCTCCCCCACTCTCCCTTATGGTTCTTTTTCTTCCTGTTTTCTCCGATTTTTTTTTATTTTTTTTTTCTTCCCTTGTGGTTCTTGACGTGTATTGTGTTGCGCAGGTTGCTACAATGTTTGCCGTCATGAAGGACACCGATTATGCGACGAAAACAGTGTTCGTAACGAACTTCTGGAAAGATTGGAAAGCGGTTTTGGGAAAGGACCACGTCATCCAAGATTTCAGTAAATGCGATTTCACGCCCATTTATGAATGGCATTTAAAGGAGAAGGAGAAAAAGAAGAACATGAGTGCAGAGGTGAGATGTCTCCTCGCAAGTTTCTTGTAGTCAGAGTGATTCGATTTCTCTCAATAGGCGTCTGCATGAAGCTCTGTGTGTGTGTGTGTGTGTATGTGTGTGTGTGTGTGTGTGTGTGTGTGTGTGTGTGTGAACTTGCATGTCGGAGCTGTTAATTAGATGATGATTGGATGGGCGGAAGGATGGATGGACAGATGGATAAATGGTAGGGTGGGGTGAACGGATGGGTGGATGGGTAGGTGGATCATTATCTGAGCTCTTCCTCTTTACTTGTTGATGAGGTTGCCCAGGTGCCTTGCATGCTCTGTGTGTGTGCGATTGATTGATTGACTGGTTGTGGGCGTGTGTGTGTGTGGGCGTGTGCGCGCTCACATGCGAGAGAGAGAGAGAGAGAGAGAGAGAGAGAGAGAGAGAGAGAGAGAGAGAGAGAGAGAGAGAGAG